GAGGTGGCTTAACATAACCTATTTCACACTGAGCTGCAAGATTCCTCTAATGGACTTCCAAATGATTTTCACATAGCACAATGTCCACACCCTTTTGGAAGTGAGTTAAGTAAGAATAAGTCACTTTTTGGCCTGGCTCTGTTCATACACATTTGTCAACAGAAGCTCCATTTACTGCTACAGCTTTGAACAGCAGCCAGTCATGAACTTGATATAAGATGGCAAAACTCAGCATGTCTCCTGCCTGGACATCATTGCTCCCAGTGACACAGGCTTCATCTGATGGGTTGCAAAGCAAAAATGTCCAGAGCTGTTAACCACATGCTTCTTGCAGTTCTGCTGCTGCTGCCGTGAAATCTCAGGGTCAGGAGACATGGCTCCAGCAATTCAGCAGTATTGGCAGCTGGAACCTGATAGAAAAGGGGAACAGGGAGGATAAAGGTATGTTTTTCTGCTTCTACTCTTCCCAGTGTGTAAGGACTCCCCATTGTGACAAGAGGACTAGGAGTGAGCTCTGAGACGTGGCTAAGTCTATCTTCTCCATCCTCAGGCCTTACACCTGACTCAGAAAGTTCAGTCCCATCTCTTTGGTACAGCCCCTGAGGTATCAGACACAACAGCATCAAGAAAATTAGTTTCTCATCCAGAGCATGAGCTGTCTGGTTGAATTAGTGTTACTGTAAGCATCCCCTATTACTTGCACTTCCCCACATTTGCCAACAACGTTTTGGTGCATATTGTGCGCTCCGTGCAGCAATGTGATCTGACCAGCCCTTCTGTGAGAAGCACAGGAAGCTCTTCTGGGTTGTTTTGCCAGAATCTGGACTCCATTTGCAGAATATATGCAAGCACAAAAGCCAAAGATGGTCTCCTCTCTTTGAAAGCTATCGGAGGGAAGACCATCTTGATGAGAACAGTAGGGATCCAACAATTTTGCAGCTATGCAGAATTTTTCTTCTCTTTGCTTATTGATTTATTATGTGAATTCTGGCAACTGTAACTTTGCAGCCCCTGCTATTTATCTTTCTATATAGCAAGCACAGCAGTACATCTCCCTCTTGGATTGCTGGCTGAAGCCTCAGTAATTTGAGTACTTGGACCAAAGCAGTCTGAGGTCCTTGGACCAAAAAGATCTATTGATATTAAGAGCACTTTGCACTAATTAAACCTCATAAAACTCTTCCTGGGTCTTAGAATCTCCATTTTGCAGATGACAAAATTGAGGATTTAGCTCAGATCGGGAAGTATGTCCTTAAGTTTTTAAATACTTATTAGAACAAATTTTTTTTGCTAGCTCTAATTCTATATAGCACTATGGGGGTGGAAAAAAAAAAAAAAAAAACAGCAATCAAGTCAGGACTGTCCACAAGATCAACTAAAAATCTATGTAGGTCAAGGAAAACTGAAGTGGTATTTTCCACTAGGTGGTGGTAGACAGCATTTCTTAAGGATTTTTTTTACCTTCTAGGATAGAAACCCAGGGTCTGCTCAGTTCAGTTGTTGTCTTCACTTACTCCATACTTCAGAAGAAGAAAAACTATCACAGCTGGTGACCTACAAACTGCCTTTTCTCAGGCTCCTTTCTCCTCTTAGGCGGCTGTGGAAATATCAGGGGTTTGTTTTTATTTTGTGTAATCCCGTAGAGATATGTCTATTCATTGTCTATGTATATGTTCCATGCTGGGTTGTTCTAAACTCCTGAGCACCACCTGAGGGATCCATAGAAAATACTGTTAACGTGATTGAGGCAAACTTCTTTTTTTATTATTATTTTTTATTATTATATATATAATTTTTTTTTTTTACAAAATAAGATAGGCAGTTGGAAAATTCCTACAGATCCCAGCTCCAAAACAACCATCTCTGGATATAACTGGGTGTGAGGTGTAATTTACTCTTTTGGAGATCCTGTATTCAGATCAATGACTCACGTCCAAATGGAGGTGAAGTTTCAGTTTAAACTGGGAATTTTGAGTAAACAGAGGAGATGCCAGCCAAAAAGACTTCAGCATTTAAATTTATGCCAGTAACCTACGCACTGCATCTCAAGAAAGCCCTGACCTTCTGTAGTCCTGTCCTTACCACTTTATTTTTACAGAGCCCTAAAGAAACAAACAAAATAAAACTGGCATGCTTGGGGAACATACTCATTTGTTACCCAGACTGTCACAGTAATATTGCATTTTCTGGCTGCAGAGAAGGACACCCAGCTCAGCAGACTTCTAGTTTGACATGGGCACAACCTCACCACAAAATCAAGTCCCTACTTGCATGCTGTTGTTGAGGCATTCCAGTGATTCAAGCTGGCAAAAATCACAACACACTCTTCGCTCATGTATCCCCTACTTGTTACTACTGTGATTACATTAACACTATAATATTTATCCTGCATTATGAAAGCAAGCGTAATGACCGATCAGCACAAACCACAGAGGGAGAGACTACAAGACTGTTAATCTTAGCTGAGGAACTGAGCATTTTAAGAGTACTTACAGGAATTTAGGCAGCTAGGGCAATTGCAGGAGGGATTCAGGAGATGTACTGTAAGATGGACAGGTATTTCACACTGGTTTAATTGGGACAACGGACATAAGCATTCTGTGGCGACTTGGTGTCTGGATGCAGCAACGCTTCACCTATTCAGGTAAATCCAGGTGAGCTCTGAGGACCTCACATTTCTCCCCTTCTGATAATCTCCTGGATTACATATAAAGGAAAACTACCAAAGGAAGGTCAGTCCTTTAAGGTCTCAAAGATCTGCACACTAAATGATTAATGGCTGCTAATTTCCCTTTATACTTGCTGTTGTTATGAAGGACACACAAATGCACATCCTGTATCTCTGCTCCCTGCAACTTGCTTATGGTCCCACGAATCACTCAGACTGAAAGTGTTTATAAAGACCTCATTTTAATAGTGAAGAATGATACATGCCAATAATCCCAGCAACATAATTTACACTTCAGCAGCAGGGCAGCGTGACCACAAGTGGGCTCCAGCTCCCTGACCAACAGGAATGTCAGGATATTTTCTGAAATTTGACAACACAGAAAGCCACCTGGAAGGTAATTTGTCTATTTCATAGGCACAAAGGCCTGAAACTGCTTTTGCTGGGTTTGAGCCCATGAATCCAGGGGATCTGATGGTGTCCCACTCAACTTTTAGAGCATCTGATGGTGTCCCACTCAACTTTTAGAGCACTAAATGCACGTTTATCATCCTTTCTTTGCTTGTCCTTGTAATTATTTAGACCTTGAGGTGTCTATCTGTTAAATTTCAGGCTGACTCGTGAACTTCCCACTTGCAGATCTCTTGTTGGCTTACCTGTATTTCACTCTGCAGTCTTCAACTGAGGGATGCCATGTTGGCAAAATTAGAACATTTATTTGTGAGTCTGGATTTAAAAGAAATCATAGAGCTGTGGCTCTGACAATGATTTCTGAACACAAGAAATCCTCACAGGGAGTCTGAATCATTGGATACGTACAATCCATCTTCCTATACAAACTCCTGTCAGCAGTGAAACTGCTGCAGTCTCAATCAATCTTACAGTACTAAAACGTCTCTTTTATCATGGCTGCATGCTCCTCTGCCCTAACAAACAAAGTCTATTAATGTTTAAAAGCTGCAATTAAATATATGTATATGTTTGGGTTAAAGCCAAGCACTGAGTAATGCCTAGGGATCGATACCCATAGTCAAGAGCATACAAAGCAGAAAAGATGCTTTGTGACTTATCTGTGTCCTGTATAGTCCTCCATATGGTTAATTTGAAAGCCTTTTAGAAGCTTAACAAGGAGAGTACCTCAGTGAATGTGGAACTGAACAATGCACAAGGATAAGAAACACAAATGCTCCAGGGGCCTCGTAGAGTCTACGGTCTTAAAATAAGCTCCTGGGTTTTAGTGGGATCCGATGAAACCCTCTTTACACGGGCAGTGGATGGAAGGGGTCAGACAGCTGGTGAGCAAATACTCGGTAAACACTCCAAGCAGCTGAACTCTGCAAACAGCAACTATTAAGGCAAAGACCTGGAAAATCAACAGAGAATTGCAGGTCTGCATGAAATGATGCAATGGATTACAATTAGTGTCACTGGTCCAGAGAGCAGAGGTTTTCCTATTGACTTGGTTTCCAGTTACAGCTACAAGGCAACTTAATCAAATAACAAAGCGGGCTGGTTTGGGGCGAAAGCTCAGAATCAGTCAATATTATCTCAAGGACACCTCCTGCAAGTTAGCACTGCTGCTTGAAGCAGAGCTTTGTTGGGGGAGAAAAAGTTGGAATTACTGGAGACAGCATTGGGCTGTGGCTTTCCAGAAGGGCAGCAAAATGTACAAGGTAGAGTGAGACAATGGGCCCCAACACATCCGAGAAGCGTCCATACTTGAAAAGGGCGGAAAACAAATTAATCACAGAACCACAGAATGGCTCAGGTTGGAGGGGACCTTACAGATCATTAGCTCCAACCTGCTCGCCATGGGCAGCGTTGCCAACCACTGGATCAGGCTGCCCAGAGCCCCATCCAGAGACTGGGGCATCCGCAACTCTCTGTGCAAAATTAAAGCAAGTTACCAGTATCAAAATCAATTAGGAATGTAAATTTTTCTTTTTTTTTTGGCCAACAGGCTTGAAGAGAAAGCATACGTCTGTTCCAATGTGGGTTATTGGAGCAGCAGGGATCTGCCTTGGGTCTGAAACACACAGCTCTGCGCTCCAGGAGCTGATCTGCCGTGTGGTGATGTGCCCATCACTGCGCAAGCAGAAAACTCTGAAAATCTGCGAAAAATTGAGATTTTAACGAGACTTTAAACCAGATTGTATGTGTTGGGGGGCATCTTATACTGAGGGTGCCCACTTCTTTGGAGGGAAGAAAGAATCTCTCTATTACACTCACTTCTCCTATTAGAAGAGCTGGAGTTATTTATTTATTTATTCATTTATTTATTTATTCATTAAATAAAGAATTTTTGATCCTTTGGGTCCCTTCCAACCCAAGCCATTCTTTGAACTCGCCCCCAAAAGAAGCATGGGCTGGGAGCACCCCGTACCCACACCAACACCATTTCCCGTAGCGATGCACCTCGGGAGGACTCGCCTCGCCTCAGGATCGCCTCATAGCGCCGCACCCGCCACCACCGCCCGCCCGCTGCGGGGCCGCCATGGCGGGCAGGCGCTGAGGGAAGGTGGCGGGCGCCATCTTGTCGGGGGCGGAGCGGGGCCCGGCCCGCCCCGTGCTCTGCCTGGCGGGGCGGCCCCGGCCCCGCTCTACTCCCCGCTGCCGACCGAGGGGTGCGGAGTCTGGCGTGTTCTCCGTCGCTACCGCGGCTTCCATCGCCCTTGCCGTCCGCTATGGCAGGTGAGTCCGTCCTCTCCTCCTGCCGCGCTGAGGCAGCAGCCCGGCGGGCGCCTCCTCCATGGCGCCGTCCCCTCAGCCGCCCGCTGTCACCTCCGTGCGCTGCCCTCCGTCTCCTCTCCCCCTCATCCTCTCCTCCTGCCGCCTACCGGGGAGCCTCCACCATGTTGCGGGGCTGCGCCTCACCTTGGCCTGGCGGCTGCTGTGCCGTCCGCGTCCCCTTTTTCTCTTTCTTCTTTAAACCCCTCCGCGTTCTCCCGTCTCCGAGCCGGGGGCTGCCCTGCGGAGGGGCCGCGTGAGGGGCACCTGCGGCCGCCGCCACCTGCCGGGTGTGGGCACGGCCGTAGGTGTGGGTGTTCTTTTACGGAGATCGTCGTGTCACGCGTCTTTTTTTTTTTTTTTTAATTATTATTTCATTATTGGAAACAAAATGGGTGGCAGAGCCGTCAGCTCGAAGATGGGGTGAAGCAATTCCTGTTATTCCCACCCCCCGATTCCCCCCCACCCCCGTCTGTCCGATCCTATTCTCACGACCTGATTTGAGGGTTTTATTTTATCGTTATTATTATTTTAAACGATTGGGGCTTGTGGGCTGTGTGTTTCTTTGCAGCTCGAGGCATTTCATATTTCTATTATCTATTCCTGTTTCAGTCTGTGAGCCCCATCGTGCACAGTTCCCTTTTGTTTTAAGGTGTGTTTTGGTGGAGCCCAGCGATGCGGGCAATACAGAATGCCCTGACAGAAAGCCTTGTTGATGAGCCTCTGGTTGGGTTTCATTACCTAACGGGTAGTGCCTCAATACCTACATTGTGCCTTTCTGTCGTCAGTGGGTTTGTCATAAAGGATGAGCGTGTAGGCAGAGAGATTCCTGTCCCTTCATTTTGAAGCGTCGTTGTCATTTTGTAGGCTCAGAGGATGGCTCAGCTTTGGGGGTCTGCTCTTTTCCATGCCCAGGCTTTGGGGGTCTGCTCATCTCCTCTGTGGATGGTGAGTGGGGCTGAACCTAGAAGGCAGTCAGCTGCCACCAGAGCCCGCAGAAAATTTTGGCAGGAAAGGGGAAAAATCCCCAAACGTGTTTAAGACAAAGTGAAGATCTTCTGTGATCATTTTGGATGTCTTGTTGCCTGCTTATACCTCTCGGTATGAGTTCAGTGCCAAATAAATGCACTTGCTGTTGAACTTGACCACCTGAATTAGAAATAATGCTCTGTTCTCATTTGGAGCTTAACACATCTGTATATCCCCCCCTGCATCATGGTGTTGCCTTACTTGAGTGAGCTTTAAATTAGCCATTTTAAGCTTAAAATAGGAGCTGTTTTGGATAGTGGTTTTGCTGGGACCTGGAGTTTGATGCAGGCTGGAAAACCAAGTGGAGAAGCAGACCAAATGCTGGAGCAATCTGTTGGAGTGCTGCACCCTGCCAGAGCAAGGCACTAGAACTGCACACCTTAATCTGCTGTGTGATTTCATTAGAGGTAAGGGGTTACTGCAGCAAGAAGCTCATAACAGTGTAAAACAATCCTGGACACATGTAGAACAACTGGGATTTGTAGTTGATGAGCTTTTACAACTCTACTCCCAGTTTCAAGTTGTGATCCATAGCTTGAAATTATAGCTATGTTAACTGGGAGTTGCACTGGAACGAACTCAACCTTGGGTTATCTGTGAGGTTAAATAACCCCTGAGATTTTTATCATAGATTTAAACGAGCCTTTGGCTGTAGCAAAGATGCAAATTGGAGTTGAAAATGTCTTGTCAGAGCCCTGGGGATAAGGGAAGGGGCTGGGGTGAGTTGGGTTCCACCTGTTGCTTAACAAGCCAAGCTCTTCAGGTTTAAAATCCATCCCAATCTGTCGCTTGCCTTCAAAGCATGCAGCTAGGCTGAGGTTTGGTGTATGTTTTCTCAAAGGCACTAGCCCTCACACTGAGTAGATGAAAAGAGCTGGGTGGAAATGGTGTTCTCTCTGTGGCTTTTCTGCGTCGTCAATACAGAAACAAACCAGAAGGAGCAGCAGCTTTACACACAGCAGCATAATTTGGGCTGCAGTTTGGTGAACATTTCTGTGATTTTTTTTAAATTTATTTTTTTAAGCAAACCTTATCCAACTGCTAATATGAGATTTTCTATCTTCTGTACTTGAAGCTAACAGGGAGTTGAATTCCAGGAGAGAAATGAGAGTCGTATGTCTGTTGGTTTTGCTGGGCTGGAGACTGTTTTCTTCGGGAGGAGTTCAAGATAATGGCAGTATGTGAGGAGGTGGGGAAACCAATCCTAACAGAAAGTGATATGACTTAGGTTTTCCCCGTGTTTGTTTCAGATCTTAGTAGATGATGCTGTGTTTATGTGCAGTACTACTTCCCAGTTTGAAAATAAGACAGGTTGGGTTTTCATTCTTCGAGTCTGTCTGTATGTTGTTTTGTTTTGTTTTTTTCCTGTTATGTCCCAAAGTATTAATTATCTTCCTCAGTAGCATGGGTTTTCTTACTGTGCTGTAGAGTTGGGCTTAGTGGAGGCTGTTCAGAGCTACCCAAGGGCAGCTTTATGCATCTTTAGTAAGGATTCCTGAGGAAGTGGCTGCTAAACTGCCCTAATGGCCCAGTCTGAACTGCTGCAGTTGAACTCTTCTGATCCCTGTGTATACAAGGGGAAGGAAGGCAGCTCGTCCTTGTGAGCTGTTCCATTAAGTGCTATGGAAGTCTTATGGAGGGTGCTTTTGGAAGGTTTTATTCTGCTGCAGCTGTTCCTTTCGATACCTTTGTGTGAAAAATCAGTAAGAAAAAACCCAAGACCGAAAAGATTCTCTGGAGCCATTTTCTCCATAGATTTATCTTGCTTTCGAACACTTCTTTGGACGTTTATGGTAGGAAGGGAAAATGCAGATGGCTGCACAAAGCGTTTTTTCTGCCAATGATGATGATGGTTCATGTATTGCAGAAAAATTTATTTGTATCAAGTGCTCTTATTTATGGAGCCTTAGTGGTCATGAAACAGCCTGACTGCAGTTACAGCGTGGTTTATTTGACTTGAAAGCTGCAGGAAGAAAATATTGACGGTCGGGATGAGTGAAGAGATGTGCAGCATGATGGAGCCTAAGGCAGCATTAAAATAAATCATTGAAAATGAAAGCTATTTGCCATGTTCCCGAGCTGTTCCCAGGGGTGGGTTGCATTAAGACATTGTGCTAACTTTGTGTTGCTGCTGGGAATGTGCTTCTTATGCTTCTAAGAAAGTGTTATGGCTGAGTGTTTCTAGTTGTTAGGAGTGATCTTATGACAATTGAGTTAAAGGAAAAAAAGTCTGATGATAGGTTATGGGAAGGAAATGTCTGCTATCTGCGTGCTCTTCAGTTAGGGAAGGATCTTAATTGGGAATTTCTTGTGTTGGTAATTCGGCTGTGAAAGAAGTGGTACCTCCTTGGGAAAGGGTTGGGCTGCTGATACATCACTGGTGGGGAAAGGAAGGAAGAGGGAAGAGGAGTCCATATGAAGTCTCCTGCTCTAGCTTCATACCTTGCACTTGACATGAGAATTCGTAGCTTCCCTTTCCAAACACAGCAGTAAGAATGTATACAGCATCAGAAATACCCTGTGCATAATAATGTGTTCTTCTAATCCAACATTTTTGGATTTGGGAGGTTAGATATTGACCAACAGTTCTTTGGTGCTGGATGTTGCCATCAGGCCAGTAAGTACCAAATCACTGTCACATGCACCTCAGTGTGATGGCATGGTGGAATTTTCTCTTGTGCACTATAGAGACCAGTGTATCTTTCTCCTTTGAGTGATGCTTTGATCTCGTACTTATGTCAGCAAAAGCCAGAGGAGATGAGCTGTCTGAGGGTTGTAATTTTAGGAGCAGATTTGTCTGCTTGTCATTGTGTTGAAGGAGCTGTAAGTAGCAACATGGTACCTTTAGGCATGTTGAACTTTTAGGGGCTGTGACAGCAATACCAGAGTTCATTTATATGTGTGCATACATCTATACAATAATCACACGTGGGTTTAACCAATGCTTGCTTGCTGTGCCCCTTGTGACTAAAGAGACAATGCTAACTTTGTACCATTTCCTTTAGGTTGAAGTTGAAGTATGGCCTTGAATGAGTATAAATGGTGAAGGAGTGATTGACTCACCATGGCAATGGTTTTGAAATGGAATGACTCATAGGACAGATATCAAATGGCTGAATGTTCCCCAAAGTTCTTGTCTGCATTTCTTTTCACATCAAATTATTGCAGTGCTTGTGTCACATGAACAGTTGGCTGAAGCATTTTGAGAATGAGCTGAAGACAGGAATGCTGTCATAGCAAGGAAGTAAAAAAAGCAACTTGAAGGGGTTTCTGTGTACTTGGATTCTTAAGCATTAGCCTTGTGTGTGGATGCTTTGAGCAAGTTAGGCCTCTAAAAGTAGTAACACATTTTAATTGGGTTTATCCTTAAATGCTGCATGGCCATGAAATCACAGCCTGGGGCAGTGTTTTAGTGGCATGCTGGCTGTTAGTGAGCTTGTAAGGTTATAAAAGTTAAGAGAATAAAGGGCAGTTTGGGAGATTTAAGAAGGTACCCAAAGCAGTCAGTCTTAGTTGTGTTTATATGATGAAGAGGTTGATGTGCTGGGAGTTTGCTCCCAGCTTTCAGTGCTCTGGAATTCCTTGAGAGGAAGATGCTCCCTAATGCAAATCTCTGACTTTTTGCTTTTGCTCTTACATATATCTGTACTGGGTATGTGTTTATTTGCCTGCCTTGTGGATGTATGACTGTGTCTTAATATGTGGCAGGAAAAACCCTGAGTTCTGCAATTTACTCCATGTATTACTGTAGATTGCTGTATTCAGAGCCTTGCCATACCTGAGCAAAGAAAACACATCCTCGTTTTTGCATATGGTCAGGAAAATTAGGATATGTTGAAGCATCAGATGGAGCATTTTTTATTTATATTTTTTTAATGCAAAATGAATTGTTTCTGCAGGTTGACATGGATGTTCCTGATTCCAGAAGCATTTGC